TGATTGACACTTAGTTCGGTATATCTTTTTTCTCATCGACAGTTGAACTGTTTAGAATAAAAATGTGAGAAAGAATTGCACGCTTAATTTGTTACCAAACTCGAAAATTTTACTCTTCTTTGCAATTTTAGGTTCAAATACTTTTTTTTGTGTAACTGTGTCATTATATCGTTTAAATAACGTGCGTTAAATTAGTTTGTTGTTGGTTTTCTTTTTTTTTTTAATGTATGAATATGAAATTTTTTGGGTCTTAGGTGACCAAACACGTTTCGGGGAGCAGATGATTCATGATGGATCACCAATCTTGCAGGCCTTAGTTGCCTCTCTTTTCACTTGGGGAGTTACAGCACTCGGTGCGGCTGTTGTTTTTTTTCTACCACCTCATAGCAAAAAATTACTCGGTTAGTTAATATTTTTGTTATTACTGTTATTATAAATGTAAGGGCGAATTTTAAAATTAATAAATGAATAGATTCGTTTTGGCGTCAAAGGCCGCTTGCTAACAGCTAATCTTAAACGGTTATTTTGTAAAAACTTTTTTAAATTCAGGCTAACTTTCTGTAGTTCTCGATGCTATAGTTTTTTTTTTTAAGTAGAACGGTGTAAAGTCGTTTATTGTGCGCTGAGAAAGTACACGGTAGGTGAGACAGTTGAGCTTTTATGTGATTGTCCACTTTTCAATTGTCACACAATACGTTTTCTTTACGGACAACAGTCGGCTTTATTTTGTATTTTGTCAGTTCTCAAAATTAAGACACTGTTGGTGGTGAACAGTGTTTTGTTAAATAGTTGGAAAAGATATTTTGAATGAAGTATTCTGAATCCGTTATTGAACGGCAAAAATTCTGTAAAAAAGAATCAAGTGTTAAATTGAATGTCCAAGAGTAGGGACTAATAACAATGACTGAAAAATGGATGAGAACAAGGCTACAACATTTGTTGCTATAGCTGCTAAACATGCTTTCTTTCTATTGAGCTTTCGAAGAAAATATTGGAGTACGTTCTCTCTACCAGGTTTATTTTCTTATCATTCATACTTTACACTGTTTAGTTTTATCTTTTTCAAATAGTAAGGGGATTTTTTCAAAATTATATGTCAACAGTTTATAAAAACCCAAACTTTTTGATACTTTTTTTGTATTTGCCGACTTGTACAGTTATTCATATAATTCAATGCATCAAAAATGCAAAAATTTAGTAGAATTAAAAAGGCTGTACTTATGATCATTTTTGAAATTCAATTAGTAAATTTGCAATTGTTAACGCCGTTGATGAGGCAAGTTAAGTATATTCAAATTATGACAGGGAACAAGACTATTTTACTTTTTTTATTTAGGCATTGGAAATCATAAAAAATCGTTTACAGGGATTCTACTGTAAATTTTCTGTTCGTATGAGGTTTTCTGATTTTTTTTTTTTTTTTTCGTGTTTTAGTGTTGCTCACTGGTTTTTATGATAATTGAAACGGTAATGCAGGGTCTCATTTTGTACTGCTTCTGTTGTAAATTATTATTA